CGGAAGTCTTGAGGAATTACTTCAGGAGAAGGTTTAAGGGCCTGGGACTATAGCATCCTTCCTGGTTACCCCCAAGAGTGTGGCATTCCCCTGTACCCTGAACCTGCTTCTTCTAAGTAGAACTTAACTTCCAGAGCAGGGTCAAGATCATGAATTTGTTCAGAGGTTCTCAGATAAAAAAGGTGGTTTGAATTTTCTCCTTTGAGTGAACCAAATTGTGAGGAGGCCTTTAGACCATCCTTTGGATGTGGGAAGGGCTGCTAGGGGAGCCCATGGCTGGGGGGTGTCGAGACACGTGCAGCCTCTAGATTAGCCCCTAGATGGCGGAGGGCGGGAGGACTGAGAGGGGACAGGTTGTGGTCACACTCAGGCGACTGAGGAGTCATGCTGTGCCCGAAGCCCTGCTCTGACAGTACAGGGGCATCATCGGGCAATTCTGAGATGTGTGGAATAGGCTGGAGGCATTGGGCACCAGGGCTGGGTGTCACTGGGGCCCCTGTTGTCCTGTTGACTGGCGAAGTTTTGCCCTGAGCAGCAGGTGGAGGCCTGGCAGGCCAGGTACTGTGTTCGTCCCATACCATTCTTGTGGATGGGTGCTGTGCTATCTGCCTGTCTTGGCACCCCCTGGGTTGCCTGTGGAATGCAGCTGGGGTGGCGTGAGGCTGAGCATGACTGAGAACCAAGCCAAGCAAAGGAGCGGGGCAGAAGATGTGGTCAGAGGTGCATGGAGCCTAAGATGATAAAGTTTTTCCAAGTTCCAAAGTGGCACAAGCTCAGTGAACTGTGCGGTTCACTGCAAGCCCTGTCCTGTGTGACAGTAGCTGTCTGTCTGCTCCTGGTCTGTCCTTCCTCTGGGATAGAAGTCAAAACATATGCATGGACTTCAGAACTGACACAGTACCCTGGGAGGTCTGGCTGTGGATGTGAGTCCTATGGTGCTAGACCAAACATGGAAGGGCAGTGTGGAAGGCAGCTCTGTCCCTCCTCCTGCAGGAGCTGGGCCTTTAAGGGTGCCCAGGGTATGGGTGGGGATCAGAAGCTCCTTGGAGCAGGTGTGCAGGCAGCAGAAAGTGGAACTGGATCTGAGCAGCTTGGAGGGCCCAGCACCACCCAGAGATTACACTGGGATGCTTCCAGGTTGTCCAGGCATGGGGGTCTGTGTCTTGAGTTAACAACTTGGTTTTCTGTTGTCACCGAAGCTGGTCTGGCTCCCTGATGAAGAGGGTGGAGCGGGGTGTCCCCGTGCTATTTATGAGGGCCCAAGTATCCCTCTATCTCTGCACCTCCTCACATAAGTTGGGGATACTGTCCCTTGGCCTGGGCTGCCCTGTGGGGGGATGCCCACACACACAGGAGCAGCATGTGGCAGTCCTCACCCTAGGCCTCTCCGGTCACCTCCTGGCATTGCCGTGCACCTGCCTTTGCACCACTGCTTCTGAGTTCCTGCCCTCAGCATCTCACAGCCTTGCCGCCCCCTTGCTCATGCTTGCACTGCCCCATCATGAGTTCCAGGGTAAGAGTGAGGGTTCCAGATCCAAGGCCGTGGCACGTGGGTGCACACTCAGCACTTCCCGTGGCTCTCAATAAAAACAGGTGAGTGCAGCCTCCCATGTGAGGCCTCAGTTGGGCCCAGGGCCATGCCCCAGAAACTCTACTGTCACCTGGGCCTTGAGGAGCTACTGAGTGGAACAGCTGGGAACCTCCAACAGCAGGGTCGACTCCAGATCCCTATGTGGGGTGAGGCCTTGCTGTACACTCCTGCCTTTGAGTCCCAGCTGCTGTAGCCAGGAGGGTACTGAGCAGGCCACAGGCAGAACAGGCCAGTTGCTCTTCCTATCTGGGGGTGTGGCTGAGGCCTGCTGGTGTGGACTGGGTGGACCCTGCCCACATGTTGGCTTGGAAATCCTGGTTTCATAGCAAGGGACACAGTGGCAAGAGTCGAGGTATTTATGATCTCACGTGCAAGGACAGACAGGCACTAGGAAAGTCAGGTGGCACCTGCAGGCCTGGTCCAGAGGCTGGACCTGCCTCAGACTGCCCCTGCCTAGCCCACCTTCTGCCTGGGGTCGGTGGCAGGCTATAGGCCTGGATTCCTTTAGCCTCTATGTCTCCTTGCTGGCTGCATTCTGTGGGGGGGGCCACTGAGTGGGGGCAGGTCTGGGCAGAGGGCTGAGAGGGGTGGTGGTGGGTGGGGGACAAGGCCTCTGGATTCCTAGAGGTGTGGGGGATGTGGAACTGTTCTGGGCCATTCTCTAGGAGCACCACTTCCACCCATTTCTTTAGCTAGCACCCAGAGGTTCTGGCAGCTCCCTCCCTACCCTATCCTTGGTCCTTGCACACTCAGGAGACCATCCAGGGGCCTGAGTCCAGGGCAGCCCTTGGATAGCTGAGCACCAGAGTGCCCACCAATGCCCAGCCAGCCCTGGCCATCTTGCCTGTGCTGGGGACCAGCAATTAAAGCCCCCTCGTTCCCAATTGGTTTGTGGTATTAAAAACGAATTGCGATCAGCTGGGTTGTCATTTCTACCTGATAAAACATCACTTTTATTGATCTCGCTCACCCAGTACCATCATTTATCTTGCTCCAGCATTTCACATAATGGCTCGTTTGTCTTGATCAAAGTGTAGCCTTGCATGTTTAACCCCCAGGGCACCGTGGCTGTGTCCTTCCCTCCACACCTTGCCCTTGGCCTGGACCAGTTCCTTGGGGCATCAGGTTCTGAAAGGCTGGGGCTACCCTGCCTCAGAGGGGGAAGCCAGGCATGAGGGTCCAGGTGGGCTGGGCTGTGTCCTAACTCAGGGAAGCTAGAGCTTGAGAGGGGGTTTCCCTAAGCCTGCTGTGACCCCTGCTATGTCCTAGGGGCCTATCCTTGGGGATACCTGTTTCTGGGGCTCACATACCTGTCCATGTCATCTGGGCCTGCTGGCGACACTTCAGCCAGCATCCCAGCCCTGTTTGCAGGCCTTCTAGCCCTGACCCTTAGCAACGGAGAGTGTGGCCCTACTGTGGACACTCTGTTTCAGTCTCCAAGTGTTCCCTTGCCAGTGGATGGTGTTGGTCCCATCCTGTCTGGGGAGGCATTCTGTCACCGGGCCTCTGCCACATTCTAGCTCTCCTCTTGGCCACCAACAAAGTCCTTGTCTGTCCTCTGCCTGTCCTGCCCTAGGCTCCTCCAAGACTCAGCCCAGGGAACACCTCCTCCAGGACGCCTGCCTAACCACCCCAGGGACAGTCAGTTTTGTCTGCTTTGCTGTCCCTGGTAGTTGTAGAGCCCCAGTATTGGTGCCACCAGGCCTGTTGCCCACCTTCCTGTGCCTTGTCACCATCCTGCTCTGGCTCCATTGCTCTCCTGCCTCACAGCTGCCTTGCCACTGACCTCCCTGTGTGACCTGGGCAGGAGGAGGGGGCGGATATTGAATTTTTCACTTAGGACCCTGTGTACCCATGCAGTGATCAGGCCTCCTTCCTGTCCTGGCTCTGTTCCAGGCTGGATTCTGCCCTACAAGTGCCTGAGCTACCAAATCTGGGTTTCCCAAGCCCACAGGGGGCTGGCCCTACCCCAGTCCTTCTTCCTTTGCCCTCGGGGGGCCCTGATGCCAGAAGCCCAAGCCCCAGGTATCCTGCGCTTCACGTGCAGTCTGGCCCCAGCTCCCAGCCTGCTCACAGGGCCCTCCTTTCTGCAGCTGTGGGGAGGCCAGCGGAGAGGATACCAAGAGGGGCTGCCAGGTCACAGCCTCAGAGGATCCAAGGGCACACAGTCTGTACTATCCTGGTCAGGGCCCCTGTATGTGATGGGCACCTTGGCTTCCGGAAGCCACAGGCCTAGTGCCCAGGGACCCCATCCTGTTGCCCACTGGGCAGGCCTTGGAGTGGTGAGGAAGTTTGTGGGGATTCCTTGTGTCCCTGGACTGTATCTCATGGGTCCTGGCTGCTCCACTGGCACTTGAGTCTTCTGCCTCCTGGGGTGGGATCTGATTTTCTGTCCCCTAGCGAAACATGGGGGTGGGGGTGGGAAGCTGCACCAGCCAGGGCTGGCAGGCTGCAGCATGTGCAAGTGTGTGCATATAGGTGGATATATGTGTACACATGCATGCGTGTGCATGGTCCTGCAACCCCTTATACACTGGGGTGGGCTACAGAAAGCAAGGAGCATCCCATCCCTGGCCTACAACCTCATGGATAGGCTCTCTCCGGGTAGGAGTTGCATTGTACCCCATTCCCAACACATACTCTGACCTTGGGTCGCCTCTGGGGGCTACGCAATCTTCCATTTAACAATCAAGACTGTCATTTATTATCTCCTGCACAGTTGTCAGCCAAGAAAACGTTTGTTGAATGAATCAATTCCTACCCTTCCCAGGAGGATGTCTGCTGTGTGGCGGCTTTCATTTTTGGCATCCACGGTGCTCAGAGTGGGCTGTGTGGACCACTTTCCTTTCACTCTAGGTTTTTTTTTTTTTTTTTGAGGCACTGGGGATTGAACCCATGGCCTTGGCACTGCTGTATTTCCAGCCTCCCTTCGTTGTTTTGAGACAGGGTCTTGCTAAGTTGCCAAGTTGCCCAGCTGGACTTGAATTTATGATCCTCCTGCCTCAGCGTCTCAGAGTGCTGGGGTTATGGATGTGTGTTACCAAGCACAGCTGTCTCTGTGCTCTGATCCCAACCTGCTCCCCTTCTCGAAGAACCTCTTCTGGCCATGTTGATGAATGCAGACTGCACTGGTGACTGACCTGTCACAGGCTCAGGCCTGGCTCATGGCTGGGAGCTTGCCGGCTCAAGGGGGCCCATATTCTGGGGGTTTGGAGTTGGAGGTCACCCTCTCCGTTCCTGGTGGTATGTTCTTTCCTAGCCCAGCATCAGTGCCCTGTGCCTGGGCTGCCACCAGGGGCAGGAGGGGAGGCCCACGCCAGGCCTGGGCATATCCCCAGGGCCCCTGAGCCTTGGTTCCCCAGGAGTGACGGTGGGGCCTGCACAAAGAACACCAGGCAAAGTCACCATCTGGACCACTGAGAACCTGTACAATAGTTCATATATTTATTCTTAAGCAAGTTATCAATAAAAAATTTAATACTAAAATGCATTTACATAGAGTTTGGTGTTCATAAAACCTTTGTGTTTTGTTTGTTTTTAGTGTTTACATTGAAAAAAAAATCCAACCATCCTCTTAGTTTACACATTTACAAGAATCGTGCTTTCGCCACGTTTAACCACAGAGAAGGGGAGGGGTCACACCACTCACACACACACAGAAAGGAAAGAAAAAGAGAAAGAAATACAGACAAAGGAGAAAGCCTGGCTGAGGGTAAAGAGGCAGCCAAGGAAAGAGGCTTCTTGTTCCTGTGCACAGGCTTGACCAGCCCAAGTTCCAGGCCCGGCAGCCAGGCCTTTTCCTCCCCTTGATAACTTTCTGGTTCCTAAGCTATGAGGAGCACCCGAGGGCCATCTCCCCAGGCGACTGCCAGGAATGAAATATTGCACTCGAGTGGGAAACCGGGCAGATTTGGAGTGGGTATAAGGGGGTCCTTATCACACACACCTCTCCCCATCCATGGAAGGGTGTCCAGCGGAGCCACCAGGAAGAGCCCTTGGGGGGCTGGGCAGCAGTTGGGGGAAACAAGGCCCCAGGGATGGGGTGTGTTCTTGACTAGCAAGAGCAAAGAATGGGGGTTAGAGGGCTCCAGTGGGGTGTGAGGTGCCCAGGACACCTCTAGCATCCTGGGGGCTTCCCTACAGCTCCCCTAGAGCAGCGGGCTCCTGGGGTGGGATGTGGAGTTCTCTGGGTGGTAGGTCTGGCCTGCTCTGTCTGTCTGAAGGACAGGAGGGTGCCGGCCTCTCCTGGGCTCTCGGGAGGTCAGGAGGCCAGGCCATTATCCTGCTGAGTGGCTGCAGGGAAGGCTCAGCAAAGTCCAGGGGTGGGTGGGCAGAGGGTCTGAGGGCCCCTCTCCCTTCCCAGGGCCTCTGGAGCAGGCCGGTGAGGTCACCAGAGACAGCAAGGCACTGGGGAAGAGGTCAGGAAGGAAGGGATGTTTTACAGCCATTGTCCAGTGGTGTGGAGGGGATGGGGGGACTGCGGTCCAGCCCCAGCCCAGAGGGGGCTGGTCCAGCCACCCTGTCACTGCAGCCCTGCTGCTCTCTGGAAAGGGAAGGAGGTGAAGGGCACTCAGATGGGGGCATGGGGCACAGGGGTTAGGGGCCCAACTGCTCTGCAGGGCCAAACTGGCTGAGGAAACAGAAATCAGAAATAACTGGAATACTTCGGAAATAAGATCAAAACATCACTTTTTCTTACTGATAAAATATTTGTTCGTTTTTGTCTTAAGTAGAGGTAAGATACACATGGTTGCAGTCCTTCCCAGAGCTCGGGGACAGGGTGATACTGGCTTCCATCTTGTCTTAGAGTCCCTTCCCTCGGGGATGCGTATCACTACCCCCAAGCCCAGTACTAGATGGCTGGAAAGGAAGTAAACTCGAGTGTGACTTTCACTTTGCAGTGGGCCCCCAGAGGCTGCGGGGTGCAGCAAGGTCCCCCCAGTCATCCTATGGCCTTTGGCCCCTGCCCCACCTGAGCTGCCTCTGTCATCACAGATGCCCCCATGGGGACTCAGCTAGGCTGAGGAGAACAGTGCATTTCCAAAGATAACTCCAGAACAAAATTGCTGCACACACACACACACACACACACACACACACACACATACACATGTGTGCGAACACGCATACACACCATCATGTGGGTGGGGAAAAATCCTTTCCACTTTTTTTCCATAAAATTTCCCCACGGAAATACAATATTTACATAGAGAAATAAATAGACAACACACCTGATTTCTGCTTTCCCCTGGTGGGAGACAGTCAGAGGTACTAGGGAAATATGGCTTGGGTTCTAATCTCTTGAGAACTGCGACGTGGGAAAACAGAGCAGCTGGGGCCGCGATGGCCGGCCCGACCCTCCAAGGAAGACAGGATGGGACTGAGTCCACACCAAGAGCGCTCTTTCCAGGGAAAGTTGTGGAAAAGCCCGATCTTGCCTTGGAGGGGTTGCATATTTTCTCAGACTTACCCCTGGCTTGGCCCCACCTGCACACGCAGGCCCAGGGAGGGTGGGAGGTGGGTGGTGGCTCAGCACAGCACAGGCACACCCTCCGCTGTCACCAGGCGCCCAGTGGTGGGGTCATAGGTGCCCGCCAGGTAGTAGAGGTCCTGCCGGTCCTGATGCTTGCGGCCTCGGGTCATCTGCTCATACTGCTCGCGGCCCACAACCTGGCACTTGTGGGAGATGGTCTGCACGTCATTTTCGTCCTCGTGGCAGGACTGGTACAACGCATTCTGCAGGGTGGCACATGTGTCAGGATGGGCCTTGGTCTGTTCCCCCCAACACTCAGAAAGACCCATGTGCTTGGGAAGGGGGCCCTTGAACAAGGCTCTGATAAAGACCCAGAAGTCTATGCTGGGGCCCCTCGTGGATGTTGAGCTGAATCTCGTTTCTTTGGAGGAAACTTGGCTTCTCCTCTGAAGGACAGGGTGTGGCTGGGGGCACCTTCCACCTCTGGGAGCAGCCAATGCAAGGGGCTGGTCTGAATCCCAGGTGTGATCAGGACCTGCTTAGAGCCAAGCGCTGCCTCAGTAACAGCCCCCCTTGAGGGGAGGGGATCACCTCAGAGGCACTGCTGGGGTGTGGAGGTGACCTGCCCCAGTGCCAAGCCCAGGCCTTCATACTGGTTGGGTGTGGATCCTCCTGGCCAGGCAGGGCAGTGCTCTAACTGACCACTCCCCCTGCCACAGCTGGTGGCAATGGCTGTGGATGCTGGCCTCCCACAGAGGCGAGTCTCCTGCTGCATCTGCCCTGTCCCTCACCTTTCCATCGCTCTGCCGCTTCCCCAGCTTTGTCTCCTCCGGGTGGTAGAACCACTTGACCTTCACCACCATATTGCTGCCCCAGGACTCCCACATGCTCTCGATGCGGCCAATGTAGGGCAGATTGGGCCGCCCAGCTGACAGGAAGACGGCACAGTCCCCAATGCGCAGCGTCTCCTTGCCCCGGACGATGGCCTTGTAGAACAGCTTCCTGGCCTTGCCCTTCATGCCCCGCCGCTGCAGGGGAGATGTGGGTAGAGCAGGGTGAGACCAGGGGTCTGGGAGGCACAGAGAATGTTGGAGGGACAGGCGGTATGTCTTCTGGGTGTGTATGAGTGTGTGTGTGCAGAAGGACACTGCAAGGGTGGGGGACAACCACACAACTGCTGGGGGAACCCATCAAAACCACCATTCAGCTAGGTGTGGTGGCGCACACCTGTAATCCCAGCAGTCAGGGGGCTGAGACAGGATGATTGTTGTGAGTTTGAGACCATCCTGGGCTACAAAATGAGCTCAAGGCCAGCCTGAACCGCACAGCAAGACCCTGTCTCTAAAAGCTGCCCACCCCCGCAAAAAAACCACCATCCAGGGCCAGAGGTGGTTGGTGGTGCATGTCTGTAATCCCAGCACTCGGAGGCTGAGGCAGGAGGATTGCTGTTGAGTTTGAGGCCAGCTTGGGTTACAATATGAGTCCAAGGCTAGCCTGAACTACATAGTGAAACCTTGTCTCCAAAACAAAACAATACACTACCATCCAAGATGAGATAGACTATGCCTGGATTTGCCCCGACACAGTGTCAGGATAAGAAAGACTATATTGGACTCAAAAAGGCACACTGGGCCTGGGGGCAGAGGCACTGCACTGTCATTTACCAGGGCAAAGGTCCCACCAACAACCCGGGTCTACCCAAGGAACAGAGCAGGGGTCAAGGGAAGCATCTGTGTGTCTGCCATGGAGCCTTTCTCAGCCCTCCCGAGGCCAGCTGTCATTTATCAGCATGGAACGGTCCTCAGGCAGCACTGGCAAGGGACCTAGCGACACGGAAAGCAAAGCACAGGGCATCTGAGGGGGTTCATATGACCCCTACAGGTAAGGCCTGAGATAGGGATGATAATTGTCATTATTTGCCTTGTCAGGTCACAGGTAGGTATTTGTCCTCCCCACTCTCCTGCCCCGTTTCCAATGCGTTCACTTGGAAGTGAACAGGAGAATGAGAGGGCAGAGGCACAGAGTGGGGGTGAAAGTGACAGCCAGCCCATCCTGGGGGAGAGGAGCTCCTTCTCAGGCCACCCTGGGGCCAGGGGCACATACCTGTGTGGGGTTCCCCGACCATTTCCACAGCTGCCGGGCAGGCAGGAAGGCCGAGATCTTTGGCCGGTTCTCCACGGAGGGCAGCCGCTGCCTCCGGGAAAGCTCTTTGGCTTTGGAGAAGCTCAGGGCCTCCTTGCACTTGAGCTTGGACTTGCCAACACTGGGGCCGGTGCCTGCACTTGCCACTGCGGCCCTGGACAAGAAGCAGCGCTGGGCATGGGTGTGGGGGCTGCCCCCCTTGGAGCGTAGGGTCTCGGGCTGGGCCAGAAGGGCAGGAACGGGGTGGGTGAGACAGGTCTGCAGCAGCAGGGCTGGGTCCTCATCATCTGAACTGTCGGAGGAGTCCTCGTTGTCTGAGGAGCAGAGGCTGGAGGTGGACACGGAACCCGAGGAGGAGGTGGTGGATGAGCCGGAGGAGGAGGAGGACATGGACAGGCGGGTGAGGAAGCGGGAGGGCACGCCAGCTGCCAGCTCTGGCCCATCCTCATCCTCATCTGAGTAGGAGCTGGGGCAGTCACTGTCGCAGGGCAAGGGGTACTCGGCCTGGCCTGTGTACTTGCGCAGTGCCAGCCCCATGGGCAGCGGGTGGACAGGTGCCCGCCCCTTCTTGTCCTTGCCCATGAGGGCTGGGTGTGCGTAGCTGGGGCTAGGGAGGGGTCGCCCCAGCTTGGGGCTGAAGTCCTTGTCACCCACAAGCAACCCCTTGCAGCTTTTGTTCTTGGGGGAGGTCACACCCTCATGGTCCAGCTTGACCAGGAATTCACTGCCTGCCCTGCGCCGCCCGGCTTTCTCAGCCTCTACTCGGTCAGCTTTCTTGGCCCGTAGCAGCTTGTGGGTGCCCCCAGACAGGCCTGACCCAGTCCCGCCAACGAAGGGTGCATAGGACCGGGCCAGGCTGCTGAAGGAGTCCGCACGGAAACCGTTGCCAAACACAGGCGCAGCCATGCTGTGCACGGGGAACAGGGCCTCCCGGGCCCGCAGCTTCTTGGCACTGCCATTGAGCTGGAAGAGGTTCTGCAGTGCCCCTGGCCCTTTGCCGCCCACTGCTGCTGCAGCCACTGCCTTCCGTTTGGTCTGCGCCACTGCTGACCAGCTGAGCAGGGGGCTCCCCCGGCGGCCTAGGAAGTGGTCTGAGGCCCCCGAGGCGGATTTGGCACCTGAGGTTAGGAGGTCAGCTTTGCCTGGGGGGAAGCCAAGGAGAGTCAGTGGGACTGGCTGGGATGGTGAGGCTGCCTCCACCCATTCCACCCAGTTCCCCTCACCCAGAGCGGCTCTCCCTTGCCCCAGGGTCTTGGTGGTCCAAATACCAGCTTTGTCTTTGCTGACAGATTTCTTCCCAGAAGTCTTTGATGCTTCGGGGCTGTCTTGCGCTTTAGGGGACAGGTTGGGGGTAGGGGCTTCAATCGGTGGGGGGGCCTCACTGGATGCTTTCTTGGTTCGCCGGCAGCTGCTGGACACCAGCAGAGCTGGCGAGGGCTCTGTACCTGCACAGTGAGCAGAGGGGCTCAGTACAGGTCCACAGGGTGACCTTTACCCCTCATCACCCCCTTAGGGCACTTGTCCAGAGCCGGTGGAGGCCTTGATGAGGGGCACAGGTACTGACAGGGGCAGGAGGGCGGCCCCCACCCTACATGCTCACACTGAATTTTGAAGTCTGGAGGCAGCAGTCTAATGTTAGAGACAGCGATGTGGCCTGTGTCCCCATCATCAAACTCTACGAGCACAGAGTCCAGGTCCTCCTCCTCATCGCTGGAGGCACCTGTGGACAGGATGGCATGAGCATGTGGCTGGTCCTATTGGGCAGGTGCAAGGGATAGGGAGGCAGGAGGATGGCAGGGCACTGAGCTGGGCTGCATCTACTCCTTGACCCCACATGGGCTTGGAGCTGCCCAGCAGCCCTGAGAGCAGCCAGTGCCTGCCCCTTCCCACCTGAGGCCTGGCCACCCTGCCATGGGGTCAGGAGTTTTGCTGGGGCAGCTGGTGTACCTGTGATGGACTCAGTGACTCTGGTGCCAGAACTCGGGGTCCTTCTTTGCCTACCTTGTCTGCCTAGCTGGACATGTGAGCCTCCTTAGTCCATACCCCCTTAGTTTTTGGTGGCCCCTGGGGAGCTGATTCTATTGTCTGCCCCAGTTTCCACACTCCAGTCTGCAGGGCAAGCAAGACCGGGACAAGAGTCTCCATAGGCACTCTGTGGGTCTCAGAGGGAGCCTTGCCCTGAGTCCCAGCCTTGGGTACATTTACCTCGGACCACATTGCCCGGGTACAGGCAACGAGACTTCTGGCTCCAGTAGGCACAGACCCGGGTGCCAGGTGGGAGGTATCGGCTGGACTGTGGCCGGACATCAAGAACCTGCATTGGGACAGGGCCATAAGTAGGCAGGGTCAGAGCCCAGGGCAAATCCTCTTCTGGTCCCCATGCCATGCACTCACCGCCTCCTGCAGGAGCTGCTCCAGAGAGTAGATACGGGGCCGGTTGCCTCTCTCACCCTCAATAACAATGCTGTAACTACAGGCAGTGGGAAGTGAGGGGCCTGTGGAGACTTGCTGCCCACCAGGCGCAGCCCCAACCCTCTGGCCCATGCCGAGGTCTCACATACATGTCAGGGGGCTGCAGGGTCCTGACACTGCCGGCATACAGCAGGCTGTCCTCCTTGGGGATGAGCACGGGCAGCCCGTCCTGCAGGTCTTCTTTGTGGATGGTACAGGAGCGTGCTGTGGAGGAGAGGGTGATGAGTCACTGTGGCCCGGGCACCCCACTCGCACTCTGCACCTACACACCCATCTCTGCTCACCCAGAGCAGCACTCTGCTCGGCGTTCAGTAAGCCCCTGGATGCCTCTTCCTCCTCCTCTTCTTCCTCCTCCTCTGAGAAGCTGCTATCATGGTCGAAGGTGAAGTCGTCTTCCACGGCAAAGCTCTCTAGCAGTCGGCTCACAGCCCGGCCTTGACCCTAGGTGGGCCACAAGGGTGAGCAGGTGGCCTCAGCAAGGTGAGAGAGCTGGCTGAGGCTGGGTTCCTGGGCTGGGGGTGCTCCTACCTGCTTGCCGATGGTCTTGCTCTTCACCTTGCCCAGCTTCCTGCCCTTCCCCAGGATGGCCTTAGCATTGCGGGCTGACAGGGTGATAGACAGGGCTCCGTTCTTCCTCTGTGCATGGGGTGGATGCAGAAGAACAAAGGTGGGTGTAGCAGTGGCCTCCTTGCCCATGGCCCCCTGGGCTGTGTGACTGACTTGAGCCCAGGCTCATGGCAGTTGGTGGGAGATGGGGTGGGGTGGGTTTGGGAAGCTTTTCCCAACTCATGCCCTCCCCCATGGGCCTGGTCCCTGGGATGCCCATGGCCAACTGAGGGCCTACTCCCGTGCTGGCCTCACCCGCAGCACCGGCTGCAGCATGGTGCTCTTGCGTGTGGCTCTCTTGAGGCGCTCGCTGGCCAGTTTGCTGCCTTCTTCGTGGCAGGTGAAGGCCCGGGTGGGGCTGAAGAGAGTGTCCCTGCTGGAGGCAGCCCCTGGCTCTGCCCTCAGGTTGCCTTTGGCCTTGCCCTTGGTTTTCTTCTTGCCCGGTGCACCTGGGGGCCGCCGCCCTGGGACCCGCTCTAGCTTGGCGCCCACCTTGGCCTTCACTGCCCTCCTCTTGATTTTGACCTCGCTCTCAGGGCTAGACAGGTGGCAGGCCCCTGGGGAAGGAGGGAGGCTGTTGCAGGGTCCCCACTGCTGGCACCCTCTGCTCCAGCCTGCCCTGGCCTCCTGGTTACCTAGCAAGCCCTGCCTCTCCTTCTTTTTCTTGGCCTTCTGGTTGGCTTCCATCTTGACCACGGAGGAGGGCGAGGGCCCCAGTATGGCCATGCCAGCCCCAGGGTGCAGCACCAGTCCAGGATCTTTGGAGGATGCCTCTGTCCCCAGGAGAGCCTGGCAGTCCTCGCTGTCAGAGCCGCTGCCTGGGGGAACAGAGAGGGCTGTGGTTTGGCACTGAGCATGGCCATGTTGAGGTGGCTTAGGGCCTATTGTACAGGTCTGCTGGTGAGACTATAGGTGGAGCCCACTGCTGATATCCCTGGGGTTGGTTTTGGAGAGTAGCTGGAGTAAGGCTGGGACTTTCCTGCTAATGGCACCACCTTGCAGGACTGGACCTCTCCCCAGGGCAATCCCTTCCTCTCCTGTTGTCCACTGGTGTGGATAGCCCCTGCCTCCTACCACCCCCCAGCAGCCTGCCTTTGTTCCTTCTCAGGCCTCTGACCCCAGAGAGGGCTGAGGGAGGAAGAGTCTATTTTTCCAGGCTTCTGTTTCTGGACACATGTTTTCTGGGGGCAGAGATAAGCATCTGGTCAGCCTGGCGGATGCTGCAAGAGGAGGCAGGGGCAGTTGGAGGGCTATTTTTAACCCTGTTGCTTTCCAGGATGCATCTAGGGACTTCTTCCCTCCCTACTCAGAGAATACTGAGCTGCCCTAGGGACAGGGGCTTCTTTCTCGCCTGTCTCAATCAGAGGTCTCCTTTGTTTTATAAGCACCAAGCTGGCTCTAGTGGTGGCCTCCACCCTGTGTACCAGTCCCCCTGCCACTGGGTGACCATAGCCTAGAGGTTCTGGCTGCAGCTGCTCATACCAACAACTTGCCTGCCTCATGTGCCACCGTTATTGCTGGCTGGGCCGGGAACTTGGACATCTCCCTGCCACCATCACCATCAGGCTGTGGGTGCCGGGCTGCCCCAGACACCTTGGCATTCTTGGTTCGGGACAGCTTCTTCCGGATGCGCCCACCTGGGGCAGCCTCCTTCCGCGGGAAGGGATTGAGGCTGGCAGACAGCCCCGTGCTCTTGACCTTCGGCTTCAGCTGGGTCACCGAGGACGCCAGCTCGCCCTGGCTGTTGCTTTTCTTACACCGCACCTTCTCCTGTGAACAGCAAGGCAGTGGCTGCACTCTTGTCTCTGCCCAAGCCACAGGTCCCTCTCCCAATTTAGGGCTCAGAAGATGGCAGCCCTGATGCTCTGCCCTCAAAAGGCAAAAAGGACATCGGGCCTGGGGTTGCAGGCTGCCACTGGGGCTGACACTTATGATTGTCACCCACTCCATAGTCACCACTCTACCCATTCACACAGTGACCTCAGGGCAAGGGGAGGCCAGAGGTCAGGGTATCATGGTGTCAGGGGTATAGGCCATTTGTTCCTATCTGAGAGGGACAGATCTTTTGGTCAGGTCCTGGCTCCTGATCATGGAGAGATGGGTGGGCTGGCGGTACCCTGGACATGGTTTTCAGAGCCATCCCTAGAAGGGCCAGGGCCACCCTCTTCTTGACAGAATGCTTGCTACCTTTGACGGTCTCTCCCGATGGCACAAGCCGAGGTGGGAGGAATGCCAGTGGGGTGTATGGGCAGTGACTTGTCTGTCTCACCCTATTCCATCCAGGCTCTGCCTCCACTACTAAGGCACCCAAAGCTCACAGAGGCTTGGCTTGGCTGGGTATCCCAGCCAGGTGTTGGAACACCATCTGCTCCCTGTCCCAACATTCCCCTGGGATGGGTGGAGGTGTGGGCTCACCGCAGAGGCTGTCTGCAGGCCCATGTAGACGCTCTTTTCCAGTTTGTTCCGCTTCTTTATGGGCTCGTCACTGCCTCGAAGCTCTGCGCACAGCAGACTCAAGCTGGCCCGCACTGCCCTGGGGGCGAGGTGTCACAAGGTGAGCACAGGCCTGGTCAGCATGCCTGGGTGCCCAAGCCTTGTTCCCTCTGACCTCCCTGTGTGGCCAGAACAGTCTTGCCCCTTTCAGAACAGCCCTCACCTCTCCAGGAGTCTGGGTAGCTGAGCCAGCACTGACTGGCCTTGGGCACCTGGCAGCCCCCTCTGTCCAATCACCAGCCCTTAGTGGTCCTGGACCCATATCTGCTGGTCTCCTGCTAGGTCTTGCTGGAAGTAAGCATTTCTTTCCCCACATTTTGTGTTTCCAGCCTGCTGAGGAGGGATACCCTTTGGGGGATGTCCATTGAGAGGAGCTGGGAACTGGCAGGAGTCCTGGCTCCCAAGAGGCAGCCTAGTGTTCAGGGCCCTGGCCCTGTCACTACCTGGCCCCTGTGTGATTGGGTCTGTGGTCCCAGCCTTCTATGTGGTAAATGGGACAGGAGCATGGGTGCCTCTTGGTGAGGCTGGGATGGGGATCAGGTCCAGGCCTGGCTCTTTTTTGTTTGTTTTTTGGTTTTTTCCGGTGCCAGGAATCAAACTCACGACCTCGCACTTGCCAGGCAGGCGCTGTGCCGCTGAGCTAAATCCCCAGCCCCAGGCCTGGCTCTTGGTAGGTATCTAAGGCTAGGTCCTACCAGAGTCAGGAACAAAGGACATGGGGGATGGACAGCTTCCCAGGAATAGGTTCCACTTCCAATAGGGGTGGGGTGGGAACAGTAGTTAAAGAAATACAGACTCCCCTTCCAATCCTCAGGGATCCCCCGGGCCAATCTCAAGCCCTCAACTGGGGTCTAGTGGAGGTAACCTGTACCCCACCATCTACTTCCCAGGTGAGTCCTGGGTACTGCTGAGTCTGAGCCTCACTGCCTAATGCCCCACAGGTATGCTATCTCCTCCAGGCTGGGAGCTGGATCAGGGGTCAACGCAGGTCCAGCAGTCACTGGAGACACAGCAAAAGGCATCCTGCCTGCATTCTCCCCAGTCCAGGCCTCCATGCCATGGGGGTAGACTCATCACTCTCTACCACCCTCCTGCACCCAGTGCATGACTTTATTTCCATCCTAGCCCCATTTTTCATGGGGAAACCGAGCCTGAGGCTCTGTCTGCCTGCTCTTGGCTGGACAAGGGCTGGGGGCCTGGCCTCTCACCTGTCATCTCCCTACTCCCAGCACAGGGGGGCCCTGGCTGCTCATGAGAACAAGCTTCGGATGAGTGTTGGGAGCCTGGCGGGGCCTTGGCCTGGTGTGGCCAGATGCCCCTTTTCACCTTCCTGTCTAGCAAGGAGGCTGGGCCTCTGGCTAAGAGGCCAGGCAGGAAGCCCTGCAGCTCAGGGGGCTTCCCATACCCCAGCTTCCTGCCACCCCACCTGCCCCTCCCACTTCCTCCAGAGCAAAAGACCTATCCCCTGGGCCCAACAGCCAGTTGCTGCCATGGAGTTCAGTAACATGGAGAATGGAGACAGGAGCTGGAGATGTGGGGAGGTGGCAGACCCTATCTTTGGGAAAGGAGGGATCTAAACTTGTTTTTCTTCCCTAACCTGAAGCTGCTGCTTTTTAGCCAGAGCCTGGCTTCTCTTGTCACAGGAAAGTGGCTGCAACATTCAAGCTCCTAGGCTGGAATTTGGGGCTGGAGGCTCCAGGCCAGCAGACGAGGTGCTCCAGCACCTAGCTGGATGGAGAAAGGCTGCAGGGCCAACCCCAGCTCTGTGTAGTGTGCCCCCACAAGGCCCCTGGCAAGACCCTGGCCTCCAGCAGCCCTATTCTGCCCAGCAGCCCTTACACTGCTGGTGGGTTCTGAGAGGGATATCCCTGGAGCCCCCGCTTTGGGTGACACCTGGACACGGTAGAGGGACAGCTCAGTGAGGCCCCCTAGCCATATGGTGAATCCCCTCCCGCAGCCCACACAAACTCCCCCGCCCTGTAACCTTCTCTGCATTTGCTAATGTTTTGTGACATAAAGCCCTGAGATTAATTTTTTGCCTCTGTCTTAATTGAAGGAACCATTTAGTGCCGATTTAACTATTATTACCAAATCATCAGGATTGATGCAGTGTGCACGCGCGCCAATCGTGTTTGGAGGAGCTCGGAGGATTTATGCAAATGGGCCTGCCGGGAGAGGCAATTTGTAGCCGAGAAGGACAATTATACCCGGCCCGGGAGTGCGCCAACGACCGCGCCGGGCGGGTAATGGATAATAACATCGCGCGGCAGCCGTGAGCAGCAGCGCAGCGTGACCAACGACTTTATACAGTGCAGATAAAGAGCCTTTTACGCAACACCGCCTCACACTCGAGGGGGCCAGGCCAATGGCATGAATGGGGGCGACACCATGGCGTTGGCCACAGTCCGTCTCAGAGCTAGTGTGCCTGAGCCCTTGTGCTGTGGGTTCCCTGGAGGGTGGCACCAATGTTGATGGCTGAGCACAGGCAGCGGGGTGTCTGCCCTTGGTGGTGCCAGCAGGGCTCTGTACTGGACACTACTTCAAGTTGTAGAGGGGCCCTGCAGCTCAGGGAGCAGGGAAAGCCAGAGAGGAGCTGGGACCCTGCTTCTGGGACCTGGAGAATGCCTAGGCCAGCCCTGTCCACCCATGTCCCCTGCATGCAGGACTCACTTGGCTTTCTTGCCATCGCTCCTGGCGAGCTGGCTCCCAGGCCTCAGGGTAGGCAGTGAGCTGGAGTGTTTGCGCTTCCTTGGCCGGCCAGGCCCCCGCCGAGCTGGGCTGCTGCGGGAACTCTCCTCTCTCCTGGGGACCCCAAGGGATGCTGTCAGAGGCTCATGGCTCCCCCTATTACCCCAACATGTCTACCAGAGGGCACTGCTTACAGGGCTGCTGGGGACACAGACAGGCATTCCCAAAGCTCAGCCAGAAGTCCACTGCCCATCCCCTGTAGCCCTGCCTGCCCAACCTGCTCATAGCAGCCAGGGCTCTCCCTTGGCCCTTGCTGCAACAGCCAGCTTTGCCCTGCTTCTGGAGCAGCCTCCAACATTGGCCCTGGCCTCCAGCTGTCCCCAGCCGTACCCAGACCCTTTCTAGGCACTGACCCTTTGCCCCACCACCTGTGGACTAGCATCTTCCTGCCCTGGTGTATTCTGGGTGACTGATTCTACCTTCGATTCTCTGCACCACCTCTACCCAGTTTCTCTGCTGACCGAAAGTCTCATTCCCAGATGTCTTTTTAAGACAGGATCTTGCTATGCAGCTCAGGCTGGCCTTGAGCTAATGTTGTAGCCCTGGCTGCTCTTGAACTCACAAGGATCGTCCTGCCTCAGCCTCTCGAATGCTGGGATTATAGGCGTGCCCCATCACACCCGGCTGTCCTGAGGTCTTCTGAGTACCTCACCTCTGAGAGGCTCCCTGATCCCAGCTTCTCAGCCATTTCAGCATGCCTTCTGCCCACAAGGTGGGCAGTGCCTCCCAGGTGTGGCTGTGGGGAACAGTGGGGATAGCCATGGCTCTACCTCCCCCACCACATACTCATGGTCATGTCTGCGCTGCAGGCGAGCCAGCTCCCGCTGCTTCTCCTTGTAGCGCCGCTGCAGCTCTGCCAGCTGCATACGCATCTCCACCTCCTGGGTGTCCAGCTGGTCAATGGCAGCCTTCAGGGGGCATACCTGTGTGCGGGATGGGTGCCAGGGTCTGAGAGCCAGGATGGGGTAGTGAGCGGCAGCCTGGGTGTGCAGAGTATGTGGGACAGGGGCCACTCACAGGCTTGGTCTTGGGGGTCCAGGTATCCTTGCGCTGTAGGATTTGCATGCGGGGTGTGAGCCTGGGGCCACCATGAGGGTTGGCAGCTGGGGGCTGGGCTGAGGCCACTGTGCTGTCCAGGCTGGCGGCCTCCACCAGGGACCAGGCTGTGGCCAGTGTGGCCAGGTGCTGCAGGTTGAAGGCCAGCAAATCCTCATCTTCTGCTGTGGGGGCAAGAGAGTCAGTATGGGTCACATACTGCCCCTCAGAGAGGCTCTTGATGGTAGCCGCCACCCAGCACAGCCTCAGACTCTCTGAAGCTGCCCAGCACCCCAGGATGCAGACCCATGGATAGCAGGACAGGGGTATATAGCATTCTCTGCTCACCCATCTTCATGCAGGGCTATCCATAGTTCCTCCAGCTTCCTTGTCACCCCTACTACCCTGCACCCCTCCAGGGCCTAAGGTGGTGCTGGGCTGCTTCTGCCCCAGCCCCTGCACACCTGAGAACAGATGATTCCAGCATGCTTTGGCTGACCACAGGGAAGGAAGGAGGTGTGGGAGGGTCTCTGGGGCCTCAGAGTTGGAGGCAGGGCAGGGAGCCAGCCATAGGCTGTCACAGTGACAGGCAGGAATCAGAAGCCCTGTGCTGAGGTGGGCAGGGTCAGAGTCTGAGTTAGCAGAGGGTGGGTGTCTAATTGGGAAAGAGGTCTGAGAGACTCAGGGCCACAGCAACAGGAGCCCCAGAGATGGAGGGCTGGGTTCACATGAGCCCCACGAGGATGTCCAGGAAAGGATAGGGGCAAACAGAAAGAGCCTTGTGGGGTGAGAGAGAAGGTGGCCCAGGCCAGCAGTGCTCTAATGACAATGAGCACCCCAATGCCCTAAATATGACTCCTAAGGCCACGTTCCACTGAGAGGAACCGGGGCTCCTAGAGATGTGGCTGACTCCAGCTGAGGGTGGAGGGTGCAGGGATGATGTGATATCTAGAAGCAAGGAAGCACTCTGAGAATGATAGGATGTCTCGAGCATACACAGGGACTGCTGCAGGGCTCCATGGCCAACTCAGGGCAACTTGGTCCCTAGCACTGACAGGACTGTAATCAGCTGTAAAGACTCAGAATGTGTGTGTCAGATGGCTGTGAACATAGAGAAAGGGGCGTTCCACTGCACCTCTCCACCCAGCAAGCGCTTCTGATGCAAGGGGCAGCAGAGAAGGCAGTGCAGTGTGAACACGGCAGGGATGGGCAGGTCACAACCTCCCAAGGGCTGATGGGTGCTTGAGGATCTAGCTTTACCCGGAGGGGGCCCTGTGGAATTCTCCCGCAGAATATAGCCAGTGGGGAGATGCAACAGAGCCCCCCATGGCCCCACTAAATATGAGGGGTGCTCAGTGCAGGGCAGGACGCAGACAGCCCCAAGAACCAAAGCACAAATGCCCGAGGGGTAGCTGCTGGATGTTCAAACCTCTAGGCACAAATTCTGGGGCATGGCCAGGGCTATCCACAGTAGGAAAGCCCTAGAGACCGGGCAGCTGCTCCAAGGGTCCTGAGAGGAGTGGGGCAGAGGGGAACTGAAGGCTTCCTCTCATCTGCCAGCAGTAGGGCTCGCCTATCTTCAGGCCCCTTTCGGGCACTAGCTCCAGGTCTCCTGTTTTGGGGGCTTACTGCGATCTGCCAGAGTTCCTCAAAAGCACAGGTGAGCAGCCCCCACTTGGCCTTGCACAGATGCTCTAACAGGCCTGGGCTAGGATCCTGTCCCCTTGGTCTGTGTTCCACACCCCACAGGCCTCCAAATCAGCACTTTCTTCTCCATCTGTCCACCCTGTGAATCCTCACTTGGTACAGAACATGGCTGATCCATCCATTTCAGCCAAAGTGGTCACAAAGTGGGGACGGTGCTCAGGGGAGAGTGAGTGAGGCTCTCTGCCTCTCCTTTATACACTCCAGCCTGGTTTGACAGTTCCAGCCTCACACTAGCTTACACAGCTGCCCATCCCCCTATGTGATCTACATAGATTTATTCAATGAATAGGATCAGGTCCAGCCACACTGGTAACACATATGCTTGGCATCACTCAGCACCCCCAGGCCAGTCTCCTTACATTGCCCTGGGACCTCCACATGGGGTCGCTGGACACTGCACTGTCACCTCATAGACATGTGGCCAGCAGGTCCAAACAAGGCCTGTCTAAGGATCTGGCTAGGAGCCCACTCCAGTGGGGACTCCCAGGCTTGCTCAACTCTGCACAGCCCCTCCCAGAGGCAGGGGGCTCTAGAAGCTTGCTAGGTATGTCCCCAGGGAAGGCCCTCCTTGGCACAACCAACTTTACATAGCAATGCCTACCCATGTCCTGCCAGGGAGAGCCTGAGGCAGCCCTGCAGCCCCTAGCAGAGGAGTGCCAGAGGCCTTTAGGGAAATTAACTTTATAAGAGCTTGCACTTTGTCTCCACACAGCACCAAAGGCACAGGGTGTTTTGTGCATCAGGAAAACAAGTGGCTGGGCCCTGAGGATCCTGTTAGGTTTTTTCTTTAGATGTCCAGGCAATAAGGCCCAGTTGGGGATGCTGCCTACCCAGGGCTCCTTCTCTGGGGTCTAAAGGGAAGGTGGTTACTCTGGCAGGAAGAAGGGGCTTCTAGTGGACCAGGGAGCTGTGTGGTTCCCCCACTATGTGGGGCCAACCATGCACAAGCAGGCTATGGGTGGCTATAGCCTGGCAGGTGGGCCCTGGGCCTCCATCTCATTCTCTGGCTCCAATATAGGCCTGGCGTCACCTCCTTGGGACTGGGAGATGAGGCACATGTTTCCAGAGCTGGCCCCACCAGGCCCACAGTCCTATCCCCAGGAGCCACAGAGCCTAGTGGTGGAGGCCTGGCAGAGGAGGAAACCAGAGCTCCTTGTCCTTTCATCACACCTTGACACTTGCTATGTGCCACAGCGATAGTACACGTAAGGGCTGCTTCGAGATCCCTCCTGTGAAATCACCATGGAGCGGCAGTCCTGGTCTCGAGGTCCTGCTCAGGGCACTTGTCATAGCTAGGGGTAGAATGGGTCCTCTCACAGGGCACTTGGGTCTTATTTTTATGGATGAGGGCATGCATAGAGGATACTCTCCTTGGGGCCTCCCTAATTTCAAGGACAAGTGAGTGAGACCAAAGTCTCCTGGTTAGGTTGGCAGATCATGAGCCAGCTGGAGGGTCAGCTCCAATGTCCTAGGGAGGCAGTCCCCAGGGCTTACCTTGTGTGGCCAGCTCACTCCTCTGCCGCTGGATCTCCAGGTCCGCCAGCTCGCTGAGCAGGGCAATCCCGTGAATTCCTGAGCTGTGGGGCAGAGGGGCCACGCTGGGGGGCCCAGAGGCCATCAAGGGCTGAGGATCCGGCATGTCAATGCTAGGCAGGTCCCCAAGGTCCATGGTAGCGGCCACCAAGGCATCCAGGCCTGGCAGTGCCCTGAGTGGGTGGCCGCTGCTGGAAGCCCCCCGGTCTTCCTCTGAGTCCCCGATGCTCTTCTCCTCCAGCTTGGCCTCCTCCTGCAGTGGGGCCTCCTCTGGGGCCTGCCGTATACCTTCCTTGTCCTCATCCAGGGCATGTGGGCTCCCTGCTTGCTGCTCTGGGGCTTGCGGAGAGACTCCCAATAGGGGCCCCTGTGACCCTTTCTCCCTGGTCCTTTCCTCTTGTGCCCCTCCCTGAGTAGAATTAGCCTGGCCATTGGCCTTGGGGCCCTCTCCCTCAAGAAGGGCCCCAAATTGCAGTTCTTGCAGCCCTTCAAGTGGGCTGGGGTCCTCTGCCTTCCCCTGAGGTCCCTGCTTGGCAGGGTGGGGTGTGGCAGCAAGGTCTGGTGCGGTCTCCCTGGCCCCTGAGAGTAGCCCAGGCCCCTCCAGGCTCCCAGGGCTATGTGGGGGCGGCTCCCCAGGCAGGAACGTCCTTGCAGGCTCAGGCTGGGCCCCCGTGACAGCGGTTTGCATAGTTTTGGGGCCCGAGAGGTCAGATGAGTGCACATCTGAGGGCAGGGAGGAGAAGCCCATGCCCGCCATAGGGTGCAGGTGTCCAGGAGGCAGGTCTGCAAAGGAGAGGACTGTCAGGAGTGGGCTGAGTGCAGCAGGAGGTAGTGAGACCCTACTGTATTGGGGTGGTGGCCTTTTAAGTCCTCTGACTCACACCTGGGAGGGTCCCTGGCCACCCTCTAGGCTGCAGAAGAGACAGGCAGGGACAGGGGACACATTAGATTAAGAGGGCAGCAGGAGGCTAGGCATCAGAGCCAGTCCCTAGGTGGCTGGGAGCCTCGGGCCATCTCAGGCATGGTAGGGTATGGCTAACCAAAAGGGGGGATTTTAAAACACGATGCCTGAGTCAGGGTTTTCCCTGAACCAGAACAAGCCAGCGGTGTGTCGGAGGCATTACGCCTCATTAACTGCAATAATAATAACAAAAAAACCTAAAACACACACACACATACATGAAACCTCTGTTGGCTCAGTCTCCTTACTGTGGAATTAGGGTGGGTTTATGTTCGCCCCATGGGTGTCCAGAGTAAGCTTGGATTCAGCAAGAATCACGTGGGCTGCAGGGAGCTGGCGGGAGGCAGGTCCAAGACCCCCACAGGCCAACCCTCCTCTTCTTGGGGCCAAGGCCCCATGCTTTGCCCCAGACACCCCTTCCCCAGCTCTGCTGAGCCCCAAGTTCAGGGCCAAGGAAAGATCTTGAGTGTGGTGCCCCTGGGGACCTGCCACCATCCCAGACAGACCTGTGCCTCATCATTCACAGGCCCCCAGTGCTGGCTAACACGCCCAGCCTGTGTCCACATGCAGCTGGGATACTGTGTGCTTCGCCATGGATCACCCAGACCACTAGACAGAAGAGGAGGGAAAGAAAAGGCCCTGTGTCCTAGCAGGGGGCCCAGGCAGGTGAGAGGCAGCTCCTCCCCGATCAGCCCTGCTTCCTGAAAGATTCTAATGGGGTGAGACATGAAGGGCAACTGCCTATTCTCACCTGGTTCCAACGCTGTGAGGTCAGCTCCGGCCCGCTGGCACTCCCCACTCTTGTCCTCAGCACTAGGCACCTTAGAGCTGGGCCCAGGGCTGCTGGCAGGGCAAACGGATAAAGTGCAGGGAGCACTGGGATGAGGTGGTGGTGTGGGGCAGCTGGCCGGGGGCTTTAGGGCAGGCGAGTGACAGCAAGGGGAAAGCTTGACCTGGCCTGCAGCAATGGGCGAGGGGGTGCCCTTGGCCATGGGGGTTAAGGCAACTGGCTTGTGGGTGGACTTCGGGGCCTTTTCCTGGGTGGGCTCTTCCAGGTCCAGGTGGTTGTCCTCAGATTTCCGCTGTGGGGTGGGGGGAGAAGCTCAGCCTGGCAGGCCCTCTGCCCCCATGAGTCCCACAGCCTGGAGGGAGGCATGCAAAGGTCTCCTGCAGTCAGCTGGGCTGGAGCCAGGAAGGACAGAACCGCCCTGGCCCCAGCTAGGTGTGGCTAGGGTACCTGGAACTGGGTGGCCCGGTGCATCTCCAGGGCCTGGGTGGCCCGCTGCTGCTGCTGCTGTTGCTGCTGCAGCTGCTGCTGTTGCTGCTGCTGTTGCTGCTGTTGCTGCTGCTGCTGCTGTTGCAAGGCATATAGCTCTTGCTGCCGTAGCAGCTGGGAGCGGGAATACACAGGGAGCTGGCCAGGGTGCTGCATGTGGGAAGTCGGCGCACGGCCCCCATACATGGGGGGCCACAGCGAGGCCTGGTCCATGACATCCGCTGTAGGCAAGGCCAGGGGGCCATCAGCCCGGCTAGGGACAGAGGACCTATCCGAGCTGCATGCCCCTTTTCCTCAAGCCCCTCCTCCCCTTAACCCTCCCCAGACCTGTCCCTAGCTGACCCACCTCCCATCCCGACCCTCCCAGCCAGCCTCCCACTTTGCCTTCCCACTCACCAGAGACTGCCCGCTACTCAGACCCACTGCCCAGAGCCCCATGTGTAATCAGGCAGGCCTAGGAGGCCCTTACCAAGCGCATGGGGGGCTGTGTGGGGTGTGGGCTCCGAGGGCAAGATCACAAGCTGTGCAGGGGGGTCCTGGGGGAGCGGGAACACAGAGGGCATGGAGCCGGGCACAGAGGCAGGGAAGCCAGGGGGCAGGTTCTGGTGCAGGGCAGGGTGCCCCAGGCCTGGGAAGCAGAGGCATAGCATCAGGCCTGCTGACCTCAGGTCATTTAGGCCTCCAACTGCTGGGGGCCCCAGTCAAAAGAGGACCCAAACATCCCCATCAGCCTGGATCTACCCCACCTGCCCTTGAAGACTGACCATAGGAATGTCCCCCCATCCACAAGGAGGGGCTGCGGGTACGGGGCAGCCAGGGGGGGTGAGCAGGATGGGGGTGGGGGGCTGGGTCCCCTCCCAGCTGGCTGCCCTGCATCATGAGGTGGGGGGCCAGGTCTCCAGGGCAGCTGCTTGATGGATGGATCCGGGAAAATTCCACGAGGTCTTTGTTGTCCCTGTAAGATCACGGGAGTCAGTCCTGCCACCTGAATGACCCTGCCCTGCTCCCCTGAAACCCATGGCCATCAACCTAGAGGGAAAGGATGGGGGCTCACAGCAGACCCCAGCAGCAGCCTTGCGGCAGAGATAGTATGAGCCGAGGCCTCCTGAAAAGGGGCCAGGGTAAATGTGCAGCTTTGCCCACGACAGGCCACAGATCCCAATGTTCTAGCCACAGTCATCCTCCTTTCCTCCCTTGAGCTTCGAGCAGGCCCCACTCCCACCAGGGCCAAAGCTTGGCTCTTACTGTAGCAGCAACTCGCGGCCAGCCAGTCCCAGGCGGTCATCACACAGCCGTGTCCTCTCTTCCTCGCTCTCCAGGTCCAAAGTGTGTGTGGTACGTGGTCCCCCGCCAGCTGTACAGGGCCAAGAGAACAGATTGTGCAAGCTCTGCAGCCAACTTGACCCTCCCTGAGCTGGGGTCTACGCATGGAAGGAGGATTCCTTACCCTAGGGGTTCAGGGGATCTTTTGGGGCAGGTGTGGGGAGCTGATCAAGCTCCTGGGGTAGGGCAAAGCTGTCCTGGGGCACCCTGCACATCACCCAATGGCTCCTGTCCTGAGGGGCCATACCTTTGAAGGCGGGGACTGCCCGGCCCTGCCGCCCATTGTTGGTGCTATAGGTTGTCTCAGGCCGGCTCACTGTGTCTTTCTGCCGGGCCAAGGCTACTGCGATGCCCACAGGTGGTTGCCGCACCTCCCCATCTCCGTGTGGGGTGTCGTGCTCCCGGCTGCGGGCACAGTCAGGTCTCTCCACTGAGCCTGGGCCCTTGGAGGCTGGAAACTTCACTTCCTGCTGGACACAGCTGGCTTTGAGGCCACCTAGACCCACAAAGGGAGCCTTCTGCCCCACCACGAGGGCTTGGTTGCTGTATTTAAGCAGGTTCTTCATGGCTGAGACCTCATCTGGTGGGGTAGGCAGCTCCTGGGGCAGGAGAGCTGCCTGCTGCAGGCCACTGCCAAAAGGGTCCAGGTAGGCACTGCCTTTGCGCTCCTCACTGATGGCCATAGTGGTGGCCTGGCCTGCCTGGATGCTCCAGGGGGGGAGGTGGGGCCCACCATACCCCAGAGATGCCAGCTCCAGGGACTTGCGCTTGGCCTCAGCTGTGCTGCCCCCTGGCTCGACTTCAGGAGCCACCAAGTGCTGCTGATGCCTGATCCGGGCCACCTTCTGGGCCCCAGGGGCACCAGTGGGAGCCTCCTTGTTGACGGTTTTGTCTAAAGTGCAGCAGGCTTGGGTGGCCTTCCCGCCTAGTGTGTCCTGGTGAGGGGGCCGAGCACAGTCCTGCGAAGGGGCAGGCAACTCAAAGTAGCTGCTTTTATCCAGACTGGCTTTGGGGAGTCCAGGAAAGGGGGCCTCAGGGCCAGTGCTGAGATACTCCAGACCCTTTAGTCGGGGGTTGAGGGCTGCCTCAAAGCCCCCAGGCCGCCGTTCAACCTTGCTCTCGGCCTTCAGGTGGGCGTAGGAGACTCCATAGGGCGCAATGTGGTCAGGGCCCATGGCCCCGTCTAGGTGTCGGTCCTTGCCCTCCCCGACCACAGCACAGGCCTCAGCCGCCGGCAAGGGACGGCTCTTGTCAGCCAGGTGTCCCACAGAAGGCACAAAGGTGGGCCTGCTGGCCTTGAGGTCTCGAGGGACCTTGTCTTGCAGTGGGCAGAGCCCATCTGGGCCTGTGTGCAGCTGCAGGCAGGGGAAAGAGCCAGAGGCCGTGCTGAGGGGCGGGGGTGGGCCGGTGGGCAGGCCGGATGGCACTGTGTAGGACACTGCATGGTGTAGCATCTGCCGCCGCTCCAGGCACTCGCTGAAGGCTGCCCCAGGCTCTGTGTGACCCACTGATTCCTTGGTACAGCGTCCAGAAGCTGCCACGCTGGCGCCAGGCCGGCCCAGCATACTCCCAGTGCAGCTGGCCAACGGGGCCTTGCCCAGGTCACCATTGAGCACCTTGGCATTGAGGAGGCAAGAGGTGGGGTGTTTGGGACGGCCCTCACAGGAGCCCCGGGGCATTGGGCCACCCTCTTTGCAGGGCCCGTCAGCTGGCATGGACACCAGCTTGTGCCGCTCCTTACTGCTGTCCTCCTCTGCTACTGGTCGCTCCCTGCCCTCTGCCACCTTGCTGGTCTTCTCTTTGCCCATTTCTTTGCCCACGAGGAAGCTGTCAAATTCCTTGGTGCCTTTCTGAGAGGGGCCGGCCTCACCCCGGTCCCGGCTGCAGGAGCCGATGGGGTGAGCAGGTGCACCCCGGGCCACACCAGGGAAGTTGTGATTGGCAGGCAGGAGTGTGGGCTGGGGGGGCAGGTTGCGCAGGTAGAAGTTATCTGTGGGCCCAAAGAGCCAAGGTCAACAAGAAGCCTGGGGTGGGGGGCTCATACTCCCCAGGACACTAGCGCCAGATGCCTCCCCTGATCACCTAGCTGGCACCTACTGTCCAGGGAAGGTGTTTGTTTCTGGTTTTTTTGGAGACAGAGCCTTGCTATGTAGTCCAGGCTAGCTTTGAACTATTGTAGCCCAGGCTACAATCTCAAACTTGACATCTTGCCTCAGTCTCCCCAGTGCTAGAATTATAGACGTGTAACCACCATACCTGGTTTTGTCTCATTTTTAAAATATTGCATGAAATATAGAAATATATAAATACACAGTTCAACAGCATTAAGCCACATTCCCAATGAGGTACTACCATCACCATCATCTACCACCAGGATTATTCTACTCTCTAAACTGAAGCTCCCCATTAAACACTACTCTCCACACCAAGCTATGGCCTCAGAACTACTAAGTGACCAAGGCCTCCCTTACTAGGTTTTGGGGGCCTGTGGTTCCTGAAGATTTTCAGAGGGAGGCAGGTGCAACACAGCAGGCACCAGAGAGGTGAGGTGTGGGACAGAAGCACCTTCCTTGCTCCCTTTGGGGGAAGCACAGCTCAGCAGGGTCTTTAGGCGCATGCATGAGAACTGCCAAGGGAAGCTCGCTGCCTAGGTGCTCAAGGACTGCAGACAGCCCTGTAGCCTGGGGACTGGGTTGAGCCAGGATGGATGGCCAAGTGCTGCTGCGGCCCCCAGGGAAGAAGTGAGGCCTAGGGTGGGTGTTGTGTGTGGGGTCTATATCTGGGACACCCTGAGGAGGCCCAGTCCCGCAACATCTTAACTGGGTATCTCAGGCAGGTGGGACAGGGATGGATTACAAAAGGGTAAAATGGAACAAAGGTATTTCTGCGAGGGAAGCAGTAGAACCACCCAGCCGGGACACCCATCTGCAAGCCAGCCAGCTAGGGCTCCACTTGGGCAAACTTTCCTGCCCTCAGAGGGGTCTGCTCCCTGCTTTTTAGACCAGTCCCGGTGGACACTAAGGCCACTCTTGGGGCTAGTTCAGTGCCTCTCAGGGACCCTGGGGGCTGTTCTTCCTCTCACCCAGCTGGGTGGGCAGGCAGCAGGGTAAGGCCTAGAGAGAGTAGACAAGGGGGAAACAAAAGAAATGTTTGGAACTTGTAAAAGTGTCCTCAGTCATGTAAATTCCTTGTCAATTTCCTACTAATTAGAAGGGGGGGTAGAAAGGGGTAGCCCAGGAGAAACCTAATTAGCTCAACTTCCAAAACCAAATAATGTTCTTGGATGAGGCTCTACCACAATATTGTGAAAGCCGAGAGGCCCAGCCAGAGACGCCAGGACACCAGCCTGGGCCCACTGCCTGGAGAGAGTCCCGGCCTCAGTTCGGGGGGTCGGGTTTCTGGGGCTGGGACCAGCCACCTGCTCACCCCTGACAAATGCTGTCAAAACAGCTGCACACGACTGCCAGGCTGACTGGGAGATTGGGGGATCCCCGAGGGCCGAGGGGGTTGTTCCCCAGGCAGCAGAACCCAGGCAGTAGGCTGCATTTGTCGAGAACATCTGGTTAGGTTCAGGATCAGCAAGAAATCCCCTGGGTGGGCCCATGAGCTCCCTGGTCTGTCCCACAAGGACCTGCACCAATCACAGCTGGCCAGTCTCAGCAAGGCCAAAGCCTTCCTCTAATAGCTCAGGGCTCTTTTGGGCCCAAAGGACCAAAGATGCTGGACATACTAAGGTCCCCACTTCTGACAGCAGGAGGACTAGCCACAGGCTCCTTTGCACCTCTGGGTGTCCTATCCACCTCTAGGGTCCTGCTGTCTGCCTTGTGACCCTCTCCTCTTAACTCGGTAGGGCTTCCAGGAGGACTACTATGAAGTGACTAGTCCCCCTCTGCAGCACGCGGGGTGTCCCTCTGCAGATGGGATGTCCCTCTGTAGGCCGGGTCAAATTTGTCCCTCTTGGCAATGCCCCCCTCCACCTCTCTGCATGTTAGCTAAATTTCCCTCACTCCTGTCAGATCTGCACCTAAGTGGCCCCTCCCAGAGCCCAGACCAAAACTGGTCATCTAGGATCCTCTGCCTCCCCTCACCCCAGCTGCACTTTGTTTTTGTTTGTTTGTCTGAGACAGGGTCTCGCCATGTAGTTCAGGCTGACCTTGAACTCACTACATAGCCTAGCTTGGCCTCAAACTCACAGCAATCCTCCTACCTCAGCCTCCTCAGTGCTGGGATTACAGGTGTGTGCTACCATGCCCACACTGCATTTTTTAAAAAAGTAATTTAAAAAATTTTTATTTTTATGTTTTTTCAGTACTGGGTTTGAACCCAGGCTCGACTCAAACTTACTATCCTCCTGTCTTGGTCTCTCAGAGTGCTGGCATTATTACAGGTGTACACTGCCACATCTGGCTCCAAGCCACATCTGACGTCACTGATTCAAGCCCCATAGGACATAATATCTGGGTTCAAGTTCTATTGTTGGTCACCTGAAACATGGTTACTAACTCAATGCCACCCCAGCCTCTGGATACCACCCTGAGGAGGGCTTTCTAAAATTTGAATGAGGTGTCCCCACAACCCCAGGAAAAGTCTTAACTTGTAGACATGGACCAACACTTCTGACTCTCACCCCGCCCCACCTGCAGTCAGGTGACCTCCTGCAGCTTCCTGGGTGGCGTCTGCTTGCTGATACCCGTGCTGTGCCCACACCAGGACACCCTCGCAGGGCTCTACTGGTTGTCTTCTCAGCAAAGACCCAAAGTCTGTGTCCCCTCCTCTGTCTATGGGACACTGCTCTGCTCCTCCCTCCCCCTACCAGACCTCAGGAGGCACATTCTTTCTGAGCTCCTGAACCCCTGAACTGTGTGGGGTATAAGGCGAGGCCAGAGGGAGGACATGGACACCAGCCCCAAGAGCTAGAGAGACAGCAAGGCTGTGTTTAAGGGGTGCAGCTGGGCTCAACACCTAGAGGGCAAGGCCCAGCCAGGCTAGCTGCCTTCACCTGTGCCCCAGAGGCTCTCCACCCTGCCCACCCCTGCACCCGACCGACACTAGGCCCCATGTGGCACTTGCCTTTTTGGGTTCCATAGAAACGATGCTGCCCGCAGAGAACATTACTGTTTCCATGGTGATCCAAGTGGCTCACGGGTAGAAAAGTGGATGCCAGACTCCCTGAAAATCTGGGGTATGTAGGAGCTAGAGAAGCAAAGGGACTGGTTGTGGCATGAGGTCCTGGCATCCTGGCCCAAACCGCCCTGATCCCAGGGAGACAAGAAGCTGGCAGGCGATCCAGGAGTGACGTCCTGTGGAGCCTGGCACGCAGCCCACCGGTGGGAAATCAACCCATCAATACATCATATTAACTCTGACTCAACTAATACCATCCCTCTGGTGCGGCACAAATTGAATTGCTGATGGGCTGGGGAAAGGGGAGGCTGGAGGAGGGCGCCTCTGATTCCCTCCCAGCTCTTGGTGTTTGTTGTGTGCTTTCAGGCAGGACACAAAGGAGCTTAGAAAGGTATTCTGAGAGGAGGGGGCATGGCAGACAGACATCACAGAGCGCTGACAGCCCGGGCCAGACCCTGGCTGTGTCTGCACCATCGTCGGCCAGGAAGGCAGATAGTCCCAGGCCAGCTGTGCTGTGGGGAGCTGGTTGGAATGAGTCACACAAGGCCGTGCCTCTAGGGTTCCACAGATTCCTTGCAGCGGGAAGCCACAGGTGTCGCTGCTGATAGAGCTCTCTACCTAGGCCGGAGGCCTAGCCTCTTCATGGTCTGACATCTGCAGCAGAGCTGGGACCATGCAGTGGCAGCATTAGCCCCAGAAACTCTTGCACAAGGCCGCAGCCTCTAATCTTTATCTAGAGATTTTCAGGTCATGTCAGGAGGGCCCCTCTCTGAGCTAAGTGTTCACCCCTCCAAGGCAGCCAAGGTTCTGAGATGTCTCTCTTGTGCAGGGATGCTAGCCCTGGCCTGGAGCTGGTCCCACTGCTGGCCCTGGAGCCCTGGTCAGTTGGAACCTCCCCGATGAAGTCCTACCTTGAAAGACAGGGAGGACTGAGTAACAATCGGGGTGCCAAGTCACCACCAGCCATCAGGAATGTGGCTTCTTGGGGTTGCTCCTTCTTCACAAGGTCTGATGGGACAGGGACCCAGGCTACTGACACTGCCAGACTTGTGCCCAGCCACCTCCCCAGCTACAGCCCACAGTTGCTTGGAGTAGGGGCCTGTCCTCCAGTCTACTAATCCAGGCTCTGGGGCTGCCTTTTCTGGCTGCTCTGATGCCATTTGTTACATGGGCAGCTGGCTTCCAGTGAGGGGAGCTGGGCTGAGCTGAGGTTTGTCCAGCCATTGGACTGCATGTCCTCAGAGGCTGGGCATTTGCATGGGGCCTGGGGATCCTGTGCACTTCCTGGCTTCATCACTGTAGACTGAGGAGATGGGATGTGGGGTCATGGGGATGTGGGGCCCAGGTCAGCCCCAGAGCCTGCTGTGAGTATCAGGGCCTGAAAGCAGCCTTCTGCCCTTCTGTCCTGAGCACTCATTTGGTGACACACTGCTGGCTGCCCCTCCTCATTCTACAGAATAAACCAGAACCAGGAGGACTGGGCAGGGCAGGCTCCCTGCCTCACTCTAAAATGGGCATGTTAGGCCCCAGGGGAATCTTTCTTGGGGACTCTGTTACTGTCCTGAGAGCTTCCTGTGATTTCTCATACTACTCTGGATGGTGACAAGGAGCAGGGGTCCCCAGGTCTGTCTGTTTTCAAGTCTCAGGCCTTGGGCTGACCCACCCCAATGTTCCAGCTCAGTGCCAGGGTCCCCTGTGGGTGCATGGGGGCTGCAGCCCTGAAGCCCGCCCTGAGCATCAGGGGTGGAGGATAGCTCTTGCAGGCTGAGGCTAGGGGAACTGGGCATGGGAGAGGGGGCGGCAGTGGCTGAGGGACAATCTGCAATGCCTAGCTTGGAGGTGAAGGAGGATGAGGGCTCAAGACCAGCGCTTGTAGCACTTTCAGGTGGCAGGTGGGGACACTCCAGGACCCCTGAAACAAGGCCATGACATCCATGGTACTCCATTTCCAGTGGGACCCCTGACAGTTGCAGGCTACCACTCAGGCCCTGATGACACCACCAAACCCTCTTTGGCTCAGTGGGTCCAAGTGAATCCATGGACTCTGTCCCCTGTGGAAGGAACCCTGTCCCCTACCTGATTCTGGAAGAGGCTGCAGATTGAGTAAGGCTCTGCGAAGGCCTGTGGCTTGAGAACCTGCTCGCCAAGCACAGCCCCGCCCCAGCAGAGGCCTCACCCTGGGAAGGTGCTGTGCCTGTCCTGTCCCCGGCAGACCCCTCCTGCTGAGGAACAGGCTGGGGCTGGAGCACCAGGCCAATGGGCCTGGTGTGTGGGGCACATCGGCAGCAGATGTTGGCCAGATTAAACTCAGCTCCTGGAAGACTTGACAAAAGCCGAGGAGAACGGGCAAGGCCTGGGGGGCTGGTTAAACCACCACAGCTGTCCCCCTGTAATTGGCTGCTGTTAAATATTTTACGGGCCTCGTTTTTGTAAACAGAAGTCTGTAAATTCCTCCTTCCCAGACGCCGTTTCCCAGGCTAAACTGCATGGACGCCCCCACCCCGTTCCCCTGGAGAGGTCGGGGCCTCCCTCATCCTCAGGGACTGCAGGCGCTCAGCCAGCTAAGGAGCAGTTCTTTCCTGCCTGCTGCCCTTTAGGGCAGGGTGAGGGTGGATGGCCTTGGTGTCCCTCTGCTTCTGAGCCTGAACTGGTGGTGTCCAGGCCAGGGAGTGTGGGGGCCGGAGATCCCCGGGGGCCCAGCCCAAAGGCCTGGCCAGCTCCATCTCCAGCCTGCTGTAGGCCCCTGCCTCTGAGGCCCCAGATGGGGAATTAGGGGTAAAGGAAGGAGTGCAGGGCAGGAAGAGGAAAAGCAAGGGTGGGGGGGCTGGTAGTGGGGGAGGAGGTCCTCCCCACCCAGCAACAGAAAGGCCCCTTTCTTTTTCCCAATAAGACTGTAGTCTCTGAACTGAAGAAGAATATAAAAAATGATTTTTATGCATCAGAGCAGCTGCTGTGAGACTAGAATCAGAAGCCAGGGCTGGTGTGGCCCCACTGGGGAGGCATGGGGTCCTTGAAGAAGCCACTGCCAAAGAGACTGTTTCAGGGTGGCGAATTCTGGGGGGTACCCCAGGACAGTGGGGAGAAGATCCTCTGGACAGAGTTAAGCTTAGGGTTAGGGTCTGATCCAAGGCTGAGCCAGGGGGTGGCTGTACTCCCTCAGGCTGGGGCACTCAAACCCACATCCCTGCTGGGGGCACCTCACTATCCCAGAGCCTCATCCCACTTTGAGCTTAGGGCCATTACGGTCATCCCAACAGGCAGGTGACAAACTTGAAGCCACCCACTGCTTCAAAGCTCCCAGCTGACTTGGGGACAGGCCTTGGAGTGGGCTGTGGAGGTCTCACTGAGGACATCCTGTCCTTCCTGCCTGTCTAGTGCCACAGGTGCCTGGAGACATGAGTGACCCAGAGAACAGGCTCAGGGCTCAGCCCCTCCTGGGTACAATGAAGTGGGAGGGGACCACAGTGGGCAAAGATCAGAGGTAAGACTGGGCAGGTAGGGTAGACACTACTCTTGCGCATCCAGGAGGAGCAAGTGGGTATGGTGAGTGCCTCTCACCTCTCCACTGAGACCTTCTAGGAGACACAGGTCTCTGCTTTTTGTGTGATCTGGCAGCTTCTTCCTGTCACATGGCATCTATTACACATGCCAACACTCAATGCTAACTCAGTGCTGGCCACTTCCCAGGTGCTTCCAGCCAACCCAGGAGCACCGGGTTAAGGAGAGGCCTGAGGTTGTGCTCACATGGAGCACAACAGACTAGTGACATTGGCTCTGGGTACAGGCAGGGCCATAGTGGTGTTTGGAGGACACTTGTTATCCCTTGATCTACTGCCTAAAGGGAGTAACCTTGTCACAGCCCCCTCCCCAAGAGGGGGAGACACCTGTGTCTGTCCATAAGCCCCCTTAACCCAGGTGGTCTGATGCCGAGGTGCTCAGGCTAAGCCTTCCAAGTGTACCTCCCGGGACTGACACCACATCCTGGGTTCTGGTGGTGATGGGGGAACCTGAGATCCCTCAGGGTATGCCTAGAGTCCTCTGCAGGCCCATGGGATGCTGGATCAGGGATGCTGTGTCCACATGCTGATCTGCAGCTGCCCCAGGTATAGGGCCTGGCAAGCTTCACCCATCCCCGTGTTGAGAAGAGCAGTGCAGAGCAGGTGAAAGAGCCAGGCTCTGACAGGTACCTCTGGAATGAAAGTCACAGGCGGCCTGGCCAGGACCCCAGCAAGCCCTGGACAGTTCCCAGTACCAGGCTTGATGCAGGCAGACAGGTTGGGGAGCTCTGGGGTCCGGCCTGCTGCAGGCTTCAGGCTTGAGAAGGCAACTGAGAATCCTTTGAGCTTGTGGCCATAGCACCTTGGGCATGACCTCCAAAATCTTCACGGACATCTGGATGGCAGCTCTCCACGCGCATGTTCTTCCCCTTCCCTCTGTAGGCACAACCTGGGCACATGAGGGCATTGTGCCTGGGACCCCTCTTACCAAGGAGCAGTGTGCCCTGCTCCTGTCAAACCTCAGGATACCATCCCAGTGACCAAAGGCTGAGGAGTTACCCCAGCATGTACAGCCACAGGACACAGGAGAGAAGGAACAGGTTTCAACCCAGCCTGCAGTACTCATCCAGCTTTCTCTGGATTCCAACAGCTATTCTGATAAGTGTGGTCTACAGATGGGGAAACTGAGTCTTAAGAGTCTGGCAGCTGGGCATGTAAATGCAGCTCTTGGGCTGTGAAGCCTTCCTTGGATACTTGGTCTGCAAGAGGCAGGGCCCATGGCTGCCTAGGGGGTGGCCAGGGCCATGTGCAGGCCTTCTGGGCCCACAGCAGCCTCTAATCAGAGCCTGGCCAAGCCCCTGGCCCCAGGACCACACAGACACAGGGCTACAGGCCTGAAGCGAGGGAATTGTGACAAAGGGGACCGGGGAGAGGAGGCCTGGGCTCTGGGGGCAGGTTGAAGGGCATCACTGCCACCTAGGAAACAGGTACAAAAGAGGTGGCAGCTTCTGAGATCTCAAGAAAGGGGGCAGGAGCAGGGACAGTTGCCAGAGATGGCAATTCCAGGGGATCGCACTGGAGGGCCACCAGAGCCTCTGGCCCATTGAGGCAGTGGGCACCGGGTAGGACCTCTATTATGTCAGACAGGTTTTAGATCCTGAATCTCTTACAAGTTCTGGTGGCAGTAGGCAGGCCGCGGGTATGTGCAGTGGGTGCTGTGGGCAGCCCTACCCCTACTGGATCTCTTCCAGACCCCATAGAAAAGTGGCCCCTGGGTAGGGCTGGATCTGACAATGAGGCCAGCCAAGCAGACAGCCAGCGCTGGCATGTGTGCCCGTGGTTCCCCCTCCAGGTGGCACAAGAGACCACGAAGAGCCTGGCTGTGGGAGTTCCACATCTCCAGTCCCCCCAGCTGAGCCCCCCAGGAACAGAACCCCTTTCATGGCCCTGTGGGTGGTCCCAGCCAGGCAGCTGGGAGTGGGATGGGAGAAGGCCAGCCTCACTGACAATAGGCCCAGCTGTGCTGCGCCTACACCCACGCTGACCCACCCAGGACAGGCTGGCTGGACAGCGGCTCACTGCTGACCCCCCCATTCCGCCATCCAGCCCACCCTGGGCCCTGGAGCCATCCACCTCTGGAGAAGCCCATTGGTCAGGAGGCCTGGGGTGGAACAAACAGGCTCTGCCCCAAGCCAGATGTTCTGGGGCGGCTCCTCCAGCTCAGGGTACCTCCCTGTACCCCCAGCTGTTTAGGGACAGAGGAAGCCCTGGCCCCACTCTAGCAGCTGCCCTGCAGATGGTGAGGTGGGGGGGTTTTCCGGCTGGCTAGGGGGCCTTGCTTAGGGTGGGGTGCCTCAGAGGTTACTCCCACCTGGGTCTTACTTGCTAGCCCACCCCTGGCCTCCTTGCCCTTAACACAGAAGCCCCCCAGGGCTAGGGAAGGAGTGGCAAGCTAGCTTTGCTGGGCACCTGCCTCTCTGCTGTCCTGGGGTAGTGAAGGGGATCGGGACAAGGATGAGGCCAGGCCTTGAAGCTGACCGCCCAGGCAGCCCACCATGCAGCCCAGCCCACATTCTTCGGCCGTGTCGCGTGCCCCCTACCCGCCTTGCCCCCCGCCCTCCTGAACACACACAGCCGAGGAACAGGCCCTGGCACGCGGGAGCCAGCTGGCACCCAGTCAAACTAGCAGCCAGGCACGCTGCCAGGGCAGCGTGCCAGCCTGCCACTCGCTGCGGCCCCGCCCGCCCTGGCCTCTGCCGGCACAGTGAGCTCGCAGCCGGCCGGCACCATGTGGCTCGCCGGAGTGAGGCTGCAGATGCAGAGGGCAGGGGAAGCCCTGAAGGGAGGAGATCCCGAGCCAGCAGGCAGCTTAACTGAAGGCAGGGAAGGGGGGACACTGAGGAGAAACTGAGGCACAGACCAGGAAGGTCCATGTAGTCATATGATACGCAGGCAGATGTGGGTTCACTGCCTCCCTCGAATGGAACCTGGCAGGTTGGGGATAAGCTCCCCAACCCAGGACCACTGATCCCCATGCCCATCCCCTGGTGAGCCCTGGGTGGCACCCTGTATTCTAGAGCTAGAGGTGGCTCAAGAGGCATGTTCTACCTCCTGCATCACCTGGGCTGGCCTCCTTACCCAGGCTGTAAGCACGCTGATGGTGGGAATGTCTCCTGATACCTGTGCATAGGGTGCCCAGGGCAAAGCATGGCCACTGCCCTCAGGCTGGTCTCAGAAACAGGGCTCTATAGGTACAAACCCCTCTTCCTGCCTCCCCAGATCAGGACCACCAGGGCATGGGGAAGGCTGGGTGTGAGTCAAAGCCTCCCCAGTGCACCACCTGGACACCATCCCCTCTAGCCCAATGGATGCTGCCGGGCCAGGGAGGAAGATGGAACCACTGAGGCTGCACCCCATGGTAGGACTGAAGGTTGTGGGTGCCCAGGGAGCTGTAAGCAGCTCAGCCAGGCAGCCGTTGCTACAAAGGGAAGTGAGGGGCAGAAGGCCGTTGTGGGTACTGACTAGAGGCCACCCCTAACCCATGCTCTGAGCAGACCCCAAGGGCAGAGTGGCGCTCCAGGGCAGGTGGTGCTACCCACAAACCGTCGTCCTTGCTGGTGGGGTCCCCAGGGTGGATGGAGAGGAAGTGGGAATTTGAGCTTCTGATGCAGAACTTGGGGGTGGGCTGTCCCGTTCCTGAGCCCTGAGGAGGGGTCATGGTTGGGTGCAAGGAAGGGAAACCAAGTCAGCTTTCCATGTGTGCCAGTGTGCCTGTTTCAGGCCAGGAAGGGCAGGGACCCTGACTTCTGCTAAGGGCCTCCCCTGCCTGCTCCCCCTGCTTGGCACCCTCCTTCCTCCCGCAGATGTCCTGAGGGCCAGATGCCCTGGCCAACCCGATGCCCAGTGAAGGGCTAGAAAAGAGTAGGGGGCCATCAGTGTCCACAGGGTACGGGGCACAGGCAAGTGGGCCGAGGACCCTACTTTGCCGGCTTGGTGCTCAGCACCCTACTGGCCGCCCCTCCCCCCAGGAAGAATGTGGCTCCTTATCGCCTGCCCAACATGTGCTCTTCAAGCGGTGCCTAAAGCTCAGATTATTTTAACAACTGTCCCTCACTCGTCACCTGTCCTGTTTGGAAAACAGCCCCTTTTTTTTGTCACACAAAGAGAGGTTTCTCTGGCTTCCAGAAGTGCCAGGCGCTAATCTCCCTGCCTGGAACCCGGGCAGGCGGCGGCACGGTGTGTGGGTCCGCAGTGCTCTGTAAACACGACGCGAGTGCAGCAGTCATTGAGTTACGGCAGGGTCGGTGCCAGAAGTGAGCGCCCTCTATGCCTGCTGCCAACTGCAATTACCTCCCTTGTGCCAGCCGGCAGGGGGCTTAACCCTTCCCACACCATGGGGTATGGCACAGCCACATGGATACCAGTAGCCATGGGGGCAGGGACACTGGGGCCTTGGGCCACCACTCAAGTAGCAGCACCAGGGAGCTGAGCACGGCATACCACACTTTGGGGTCCCAAAAGGGCCTCAGGGGACTACTCCGGCCATGACATCTCCAGAGTGATAGGTGTTTACTAGGTACACAGGTACTGACTGTGGGCAAGAGATGGAGACTCTGTCCTAGGCAGGGTAGCAGGGAGGCAGCCTGTGCCTGCTGACAGATCTCCCCTCCCTGTCTCTCCCCCTCAGCTGGCACATCTGGAGTCCATGCCTCCTCATGTCTGGGAAGGTGGGTGCAGCCCATGTCAGAGGGTGCAGCCCAGTCCGGCTAGCCCAGCTGTGCTCCACATTTCTTCAGCTCCCTGGAGTCCTCACTGCCCTACCCCCTCCACCCTCCCTGCCCATCTGGAGCACACATCTGGCCAAGACTAGTGCCTAGCAGGGCTGTCCTCTGTTTGCAATCAATTACCACCTCCCTCAAGGGGCTTCTTCGGCAGGGAGCGACTCTCCCCACAGCATGCTTGGCAGTGTTAGTCATGGTCAGTCCTGCGGCCACCACAGTGCTACTTGGGAGCCCAGGACCTTGACTTACCTTCATGGGAGTGGGAGAACCAGATCTGGGAGGTGCTGGGGTGAGAGCCGCGGTAGGCCTGCTCGGAGGGGGTGGAGGTGGGGCCAGTTGGGTGTGTGGAAGCTGCTGAGCCCAGGCTGCTGGTGAGGAAGCTGCCCATAAAAGAGGACGCTGGAGAATTTCCCATCAGGCGGCTGCTAGCTGTAGACACAGGGGCCAGCATGAGTTACAGTACAGCTCGGGTTAGGGGGCGCACCCACTGCCCATGGTTCCTCCCCACCCCTAAGCTCCCCAGGGGCCTTTGTCTTTATTTTTTTTTTATTATTATTATTTTTTTTTCTTGGTTTTTCTCAGGTACCGGGAACCGAACTCACGACCTTGCGCTTGCCAGGCAGGCGCTTTTGCCGCTGAGCTAAATCCCCAGCCCCAGGGCCTTTGTCTTTAAATACCCAAGAAGCCCAGCACAGGAAAATTTGGTCTCATAGGGATGTGACAATGGCATCAGGGTCCTGGGCCTCTGTGTGTCTCAGGTGCCTTAGGACTGACACCACTCCACTACTATAAAACCAATAATGATATATATATATATAGACTAGATATATTGTCCCTACTATGTCACCTCCACCATCACAACAAACCACATCACCTCCACCACACCACCCCCAGCAACAGTAACAACCACACCACCACCAACTGCACCATGACCAACCACATTACCACTACCAACAACCATATCGTCACATAACCATAATCACTATTATCACCATCAGGACTGATCATATCACCTTCATGACCACCATAATCACCCACCAACTACTATTACCACCACAACACCAACCACACCAGCACCACCACAATAATCGCCATTATCACGGTCACCATCAACATCACCTTGCACCACCACCTATCACATCCTCATGACTGCCACCACCAGTAATGACATCAGCACCAGTACCATCTGCCAGGTGCTGGGTACAGTGTGAAGTAAGCACTGAGGGTCTGTGGGGAATAAGCTACCTCATAGGCCTTCTTCTTGGGATGCAGTGGTTACCTCAAGGCCTCTTAGATACAGGTGCACTTGGCCAAATGTTCTGCCTATGCCTCATTGAAATATCCCAGTCAGTAGGGCCCCAGCCAGAGGTCCCAAGGTCTCTAACCCAGCCTGGGCAGCATGGAATGGGCCTTTCTCCAAAGTGAGGTCTTCATCCTTCTCCCCCATCCAACAGACTGGCTAATCAGAATAGGGTGCCCAGTCCCACGTGAGCAAGGGGAGAAACTGAGTCAGAGGGAAAACAAGTGAGAAAGGAAGGAACATTTATCAATCAATTGAAGTCCCCTCAAATTGTTCAGGGTCAGGCTGATGGGGCTGGCTTTAAAGTGGCAGACAGCTATTTATCCAGGGCTCAGGCAGCAGAAGCCAGAAGCTTCCTCAGCCTGGCCAACACATTTGGCATTTCCCCTAGTGGCCTAGGAGTGCAGGAGATGGTGACCTGCTACTCGCCCCAGGCTAGCCTATGAAGCCTGCCCACCCCTCTGTTCCCCAGTCTGCCATATCCTCCACTCATAGCCGTGCTCCTTCCCTGCCAAGTCCAGTGGCCAAGGCCAGGCTGAATGAGTCTCTCTCGTTGCCATGACTACCAGCTCTTATACTCGCATGACATATATGCCCTTGAGCACTCTGCATATGGGGTTACTCTGGGTGGTCCAGATGGCACTGCTGGCCCCCACCCTGGCAAGGTGCCCTTGTGCACTGTCATCTCTATCCCTGGGCAACGAGCCTGGCATGGGGCCATCCCAAGGCTGAGGGGTATGGGGTGCAGGGCAGGGCCTGGTGGGGTTGCATGGGCTCTGGGTTCTGAGAGGTGGCAGGCAGCCTAAGGTGAGTCAGGGAAGCCGCTTTCTGCCTAGGAGGTAGGGGAGCTGGTCAATCTGTGATGCCTCATCCCGCCTGGCTGGGCCTTAGGAGCTTCCCAGACAAGAGGTGACTCAGCAGAGAGGCGGCCAGACCAGGGGAGAGGGGACGCCCCTTGGGACCCTAGTAACCAAGCTATGTTCTGCCAGCTTCCAGCCCAGGCTGGGCACTGGAAGGCAGCTCCTTCCCCTCCTGGGATGACAGGATAGGCATGTGCCACTGAGAGGAAGCCTTTCCCAGGCATGGCCAGAGAGGAAGGGGCTACAAGGGACCCCACTGCAGGGAGAGGAAGAGTAGGCGGAAGGTGCCCAGGAGCCAGGGACTTCCCAAACCGCAGGGCTGAGACTGTTAGGAGCCCCTGCCAGACCATGGGCTTGTCCAGCCAAGGGAGGGGACTCTGGGCTAGGAAGGGAAGTTAGCCTCCTTGCCCCACTCTGGAGACTCTGGAGGGGCATGCCTGTGGGATGAGTGTGGCTGCCCCAGCTGCAAGCTTTCTGTCCCACCCTGGCCTGCCCCAAGTCCCCCAGGCTTCTCCTCCCTCAGCCTCCCAGGGAAGCCCCACCCACTCCTTCCTTCCCAGGACAGTGGGAAGCAACTGAGTCCAAAAGTCAGGTCTGGAAAAAACTTACTCCAGGATCTCAGCCTGGGAACCCTGCACCTTGAGCTCTCCCACACAGGAGGCAGGCGGGGCAGGAGAACCCACAGCTCAGCATCCCACAGAGCCTGTAGTTCCAGGGAAACTGAGGCCCTACAGAATTGCCTAAGGGCTCTGTGAGAGCAGTAGGAAATCTTGGCCAACCAACCCTCCAGAGCCCCCATGGTAGACCCCAAGCCAAAGTCCAGAGTAGGCTCTCAGGCCATCATGTTCCCACCGAGGAGATCCATCCTGGCCCTGGGAGGGGCTCTGCTGACACTGTCCTGACACTGATCTAGAAGGAGGGCCCACTGCTTGAGGAAGCACTACAGCCCGCCAGCCCTCCAAGCCTGGCTCCCCATACAGGACACACAAGAGTGACAGGCTGCTCTCCCCGCAGCAGCTCCAGCCTGTGGCCTTCCTGCCCGCACACTGCCTGTTCTTTGGCTGCTTCATTAGTGGGCTTCTCAGAGACTTGAGAAATGAGGGGGATGAGACTAGATGGCCCTCCACGCCTCCATCCTCTGACCAGGCAGCTTCCCTGGCAGCTGGTTGTGGCCCCAGCGTCCCTCCTGTGCCTGGCTAGGCTGTCCACCTGGGGGTGGGTCTTCACTCCTTTTCCTTCATGCTGAAAACAAGGGCTAGAGCTCTGTATCTGGCACAAGGACACCATATCTCTACCATCACCGAGGTGATTCCAAGCAATAAAGCACAGGAAAACAAGCAAAAGAACCCACTCCCCTGTAATTATTGCCATTCACCCTTCTCTAGAGTTATAGAAGACTGAACACTACCTCCCAATTCCAGCAGGACCACCTTGGGACTGAGAACCCTGACATCTTTGCTGCCTATTCCTCCTGGGAAGTCCAGCCCACAATGGTAAATGCTGCAAGGCTCACTCCCTGGCTAGCAGACAGCACTAGGACGGCCTGTGAAGGCACACTGCCCTTCCTACCAGCACAGGCTGGGGACTCCCACTCTGACCCCCACCATCTCGGCCCTGGCTGAACACCTGGAGTAGAGCCTGCAGGCTCTGCTAGGTGGGCAGCAAGTCCCAGGGTTGCGGGTAGGAAATGCTGGCTCCTTGAGGTCTTCTCCAGCCAACCTGGTTCCTGAGCAGCTTAGGAAACCCTAAGACAGAGCATCTGCGCTCCTGTCCCCCTACCTCTGAGGACTTGGGCAATGGCACAGTGCCCAGCCAACAGAGCTGTGGGCAGACCTGGCTGCCACCTCCCCAAGCCGACCAGTAGTCAACCCCAGACAGAGTCAGCACAGTGGCTGCCTGGGATCCCGGTGTAGCCTGGGCCCCAGCCAGCACTGCAGCCATGGGCCAAGTCCAGCCGGGAACTGGGCTGAAGCTGTTTCCTCTTGGCAAAGACCTTGCCTACCGGTTAGCAGCCCAGGAGGGGACAGTGAAGAATGCTGGAGGGGTGCTTGACCTGGGCCTACTCTGGCTAGGCACCTGGGTCCTGGCACTGACTGCACTGGCACCTACCCTGACAGGGGCCTTATGGGCCCACACAACATGGCACCTCAGGCCCCAAGTCCTGCATCCACTACTGGACTATTGAAGGAACGGGTTACAACTGACGTTCCCTCATGGTGAAGTGGGCCAGGTGAAGTGAGCCTGTTGGCTCCAAGGCTTCCCAGCCACCCCTGTGCATGGTCAAGGTGGCCCAGCCCTAGTGCAAAGCCTGTCTGGGCCCACTGCCTGTTCTCTCTCCCCGTCACAGAGCCACAGTACACTGGGGCTCTTCCCCAGAAAGGGATTTGAAAGCTGTAAGTGTCACTGGCCACCAAGACAAGCAAGTCCATGCTGCACCTCTACCCCCACTGCCCAGCTGTGGTAGCTCTAAGGCTACCTTAGCTCTGCCCAAGACACCATGGAGGCCTGGCCCCAGGCACCAGGCTGGCTGAGAAAACCTCTCCGGAAGCCAGAAGGCCAGGAGGGCTGGCTGACATGCCTCAGGTTGCCTGGCGCCTTAGGCACAGCCTCCTGGTCCCTGCTGACCTGCACGGGGAGACAGTGGGCACCTGAACCTGGGCTGCTGGCTGCAGGAGAAATGGGGTACAACTGCTGCTGCCCCATGTGCCATGTGAAGTGGTTCTGGTGGCTCCAAGACTAGGCATACTTAGGACTTCTGAGCATGGAACCCAGCCCTCACCCTAGCCCCATGTGGAGTGCTATCCCGCCAGCTGTGTCTGCCCTGCAGAGCAGCCCCACCTGGCCATGCCAGATCTGTAATGGCTCAGTCTCTCTCTTGCTTACCTGTGGCCAGGCCCACTTGACACAGCCATGGTGGCAACAGAAGTGGGGTAGACTGACCATGCTGAGCATGCTCCATCCCAGAAGCCCCCATGGACTGGGCATCTCAGAGGTTAGGCCTGGCTGTCTGATGAACTGGTGCTGGCTGTACTACCCACCCAGCTGGCTCTCCTGCCTGGCTGTCCCAGCTCTGCCCTGTGACAGCAGCTTGAGCTTTGTAGAATAGGAACAGAGCTTCAGGGGACATGCATGTGTTTTGAGTTAAGTGAGCCACTGAGACAGCGTCTTTCTTTTCTGGAAACTGTGAAATGGGTTGTTAAAAAAAAAAAAAAACATGGCTCACTGAGATGGCGGCAGCTCCTGAGAAGCAAGTCCCTTCCCAGGCTCTC